CGTTGTGAAAAGCAGAATTTTCTAAAAAAAATAAAATCCAATAAAGTAAACCCGGATTCTGCACAACTAAATCCCCAGATAACACCCGCAAAAATCAGTTTTTAAACTCTATTAACTTTTTACCCATTGAATGCATGCCATATAATGCAGAGAAAAACTTAAGAGGTCATTAAAATGTAAAATAAAAAAAAAAGGATCCCAGATAGGGTTGGAAAAAGGCAGAGCAACAAACCCAGTGGGGGGGAAAGAAAGCGATCCCCGTTTTTTAAAAAGAAAATTTCTCTTTTCATGATATACAATTTCCCCAGTTGGGCTGTATCAATCCTCCTAGGGATGCCCAGAATGCAAAAGGTAAAGCCTTAAACGCACCAATAATCAGCCAACCGTCAAAGTGAAGGACTTAAAAAAAATGTGCATCGTTTTTTTTGAATTTAAAATTATTTTTGACAATTTTAAGTGGGGGAAGAAAGAAAGAAAAAAAAATTAAGGTTAGCAGAGGATGGTTTCGATCCATCGACCTCTGGGTTATGGGCCCAGCACGCTTCCGCTGCGCCACTCTGCTTCTTGGAAACACATCCCTCTTTAGACCTATTATGAAGAACCGAAGCACATGCGCGCTAAACATTTTCAAATTGAATGGAGTCTTGTTTAAAAAAAAGTATAGGTTTCCCGCCCCACGCATGCGTCGACAGTTGGAATGCCCCGCCCACTACTCTCTTTGGGATTAGTCAACCACCTTCCCGCTCGCCGCCTTCCCATTGGCTACATTCTCCCCTTCTTTGCAGAACAGACAGACGGATAGAAAGACCAATAGCTTTCGAGAGAAGGGCGGGGAGAAAAACCAAGCCCGCTGCCCCGATTGGCTAAAACGGGCCAAGGGGGCAGAGCAACCCGTCGCGAGCCCGCTTACTCAGCCGCGCCGTCCAATCGCGGCGAGGCTTGTTGCGAAGCGGGCCGGGTGTCTCTTTTTTTTTTTCCCCCTCTCAGATTCCTCGCTCGGCTTTTCTTCCCTTCTCAAAGCGCGGCTCGCCGGGAATCGGGTTTTTTTCCCCCTCGCCTCAGCCCGGAGCGGAGACGGTTCATCCTCTACGGGAGAGACAATGAGGTGAGGCCGGAGGAGGGAGGGGGGAAAAAATCGAGGCCTTCCTTCCTTCCTCAAGCACGTGAAAGGACTACAAGTCCCATCGTCCCCGCCCCCCCGTGGCTTTCGGCCTGGGGTGGGGGTGGGGTTGCCTGGGCTTCGGCCCCTTGACTACAACTCCCATCATTCCCGAGAGAGAGCTTGGATGGGGGTTGTAGTCCTGGATGGGTGGGGGGGGAGAGAAAAAGGCAGGAAAGTGGAGCCTCCCAAAACAGCAGCAGTCTATCTGGGGAGGGCAGGAGGGGCGTTTGGATGCTCTTCAGGTTCGTAATGACAATAATAATTAATAATAATAATAAGAATAAGCAATAATAATAATAATAAACAATAGTTAATAATAATAAACAATAATTAATAATAATAAACGATAATAAACAATAATTAATAATAAGCAATAATAATAAACAATAATTAATAATAATAAACAATAATTAATAATAATAAGCAATAATAATAAACAATAATTAATAATAATAAACAATAATTAATAATAATAAGCAATAATAATAAACAATAATTAATAATAATAAACAATAATTAATAATAATAAGCAATAATAATAAACAATAATTAATAATAATAAACAATAATTAATAATAATAAGCAATAATA